TTGACTTCCATGAAATTATGTAAGCAATTATGTAGGCTTCAGGATAACTCTTACTGAAATTGTCTAACTGCTTTCGTAAATACATTAAGCACTCAGTCTTTTTCAATGTTTGCTCTCTTATTTTGTACGAGGCTCTAGTCTCCCTCGTACATCAACCACACAAGACCACCGGTGATTATAACAGAAAAGATGAGTCGATGGATTTCAGTTCCAATCATTAACTTTTATTTTAGGAAGAAAGGCACCTCTCAGGAAATGGGATATACCAGCGTTATTTTGTTGTATTAAACTCATACCATTTTAGAACACTCTATATCATTTAATTACAAGAGAATAATTTTCTTAAAAAAATGATAATCTATTTTCGCAGCATATTTTGACTTCCATGAAATGATCTTTTTAATAATGTACGCTTTTAGGAATTATTACATTAAAATGTATAGCATTGGATACGAATAAGAATTCACACCTTAAAATCCCTAAGTATAGAAAGAGAACTAACCCACAATCTAATAGCTCGAGACTGATAAGTATAAATATATATATATATATATATATATACTTGTTTCAATCGTATTTAAAGAAAACCAAAACCTTCATACTAAGTTACTTTTATTGTAAAGTTTTAGATATTTAAATAAAATCAGTGAACATTTTGAACAAAATCGGGCAAGGAACAAGGAAGCTAAAGCTTTTTGAAACGACTAGTCACTAGAGGGCGATATTCTATTTGATGACATCACTTCATGGACAACTCTCCATGCCTTTTGTTCATCAAATTTCACAATTCTTTCGTTTTCTTCGTATTTAATTGTGTTCTTGATCCGACTTCATAACATGTGAAGTAGAATATCATTTCGCAGTCTATACCTTGCTTTCAGGAGAGTAAATCATCTCGATCACAAGAAAGAAGGAAAAACATGAAATTTGATGTACAAAAGGCATGGAGAGTGACTAGTCATTTCAAAAAGCTTTATAAACCTTCTTATTCCTTGCCCAAGTTACTTTCATTATTATTATATGAGTTCATTCAATTGGAATGAATACAATTATCGGGTTGAACATTTATTTCATTAAAAACTTGGGCAGAGTCAAAAGAGACATGCTACTGTTCAGCTGTCCATGTGATTGTATTGATCAATGTGTACAAATAAAGAAAAGATGACAGACTGCAACTTGTGAATAACCGACTTCTATAATTATGTTGTGAATGCATCAATATTCAATACGACAGCAACTACTTAAATAATACGGCAGTTTCAATAGCCTTGTTCGTCACCTATTGAAATGTACGAACATGACAATGAAGTTTTGAGTTAGTATGATTTCCATAGGACATACAATAGGGTATTGAAATTGCCTTTGAGTTGAATTTTCTAAAAAAAAGTTGCGGTCATGATATCTATAGATTTGAATGTACGTTCCCTCGTTGTGACAGGCGATGCACATATGGAACTTTGTTTGTTATATATTGATGCATGAAAATCTATAGCAACTTTAATTATATATGTTTTCATAAAATGACATAATAGAGTTATGTATTATAAATTCGGAATAAACTCATCACCGGTTTGTCATAAAAATAATTTGTAAAAATATATGCCTATACAGTCATGTAAAAGCTATATACAATATCAACAACTGAAGTGAAAGTGTAAACAAAACAAAATCATCTTTAAAACTAAAATAATAACCTTTAAAACTAAATAATAATGTGACTAAAACTAAGGTAATTATCTTCTTTCTACACCATTTTAGAATGGTCTACATGGTATATGTACAATTCCGTCACAAGATAAGACATTTACAATACTATGTTAATAAGGCACTGTATTGATCATTTGCTTTCACAGGCAAATAAAATATGTCTACATGTAAACGGTATTATGTAGCCCCGTATTGACAGGTGTAAATCTACCGCAATGCTCACTAGGCGTGTTTATACAATGTAGATAGTCAAGATAAGACGCAAACTTAGAACACTCCTTTTAAAATTAAGTATAAATTCTGATTAATATTATTCCCCCCTTCTCAAAGCAATATTGTCTATGTACAATTCAGTCGCAAGAAAATTACATATACAATATATTGTGAACGATACTTAAAACCCAGAAAATATTCCTCTATTTTCACACCATAACAATACACATATGTATTCTGAACACGAATGGTATGTACAGATTAGGAAGGTATGACATTAAAGCAAATTAATATCCAGAATTCGCATACATAACGTGTATAAGATACATGTATATAACAATGGCAATCAATAATTAATATGAGATAATGTCTGTATACTAGACAAAAACAAGATCACAACTACTTTAGACAAATCAATTTCTTTGTTTGTTGGTTTTAAAACAAATATATGCGGTCAATAATGTAATGCAAAATAATCGAATATTACATTAAAACTATGTTTCCAAATATAAAAACAATTTAATTTTAAACACAAAAAAGAAAAGAAAAATATTTTAAATTATAATTTTACAATCAACAGTATCTGTGAACGCAGCAGACCGCCAACTTCAGAGAATGTCAATAGCTTCGTCCATCACCTCTAGAAATCTTGACTTTTACGGTTTAATTTCATCTCATCCAATAGTTTTTTTGTTAATGTTTAATTTCAATTTTGGTAATAGAAATGTTTGTATAGCAATTGTTAAATACTTTCTCAACCCTTTCGCTCAAACAACTTCCCTTTTCCCTCCATTCTCTCCTTCTCACCGTCTTGGTCTTCCAACATGAACATTAAGCTTATAACTTTGTTTTGCAATTTCGATTTCATCTTACCAATGCTAAATAATTTCTGCAAAAGTTGACTTACAATATGTATTTTAGTTTTGTATATATTTATATCTCTCTATATTTTTAAATTGTTTGTAAATTGAACATTTTCAGCCTGCGAGCTGCTTGTTTACTGTGATTTCTCAGTAATCCGAACCAATTCAATTCAATCCAATTAAAATGGCGTATTACGCGATCCGAACATGATTTTTAGTAGTTGCGATCGTTTAACAACTATGCCATGTTAATTCATAATTAAATGAAATAAAGCAGTCGATTATTGATTTTACTTTTAGGCGCTTGAAAAACAAAATATATATTATTATAACCGTACATTAAATTCCCTTCTGTATGCTTGTTCACTCTTCCTTTATACATTTAAATGCTAATTTTTATTGGAGGAGCTCGCACCTTTAAATGTTATCTGAAACAGATATATGGCGCCATACAAATGCTGTTCATCATCATCATCATCATCATCATCATCACACTGAACTACACGATGACGACCATCTGCGTTGTGTAACACAAACTAAAAGGGAGACATATATATATATATATATAGAGAGAGAGAGAGAGAGAGAGAGAGAGAGAGGCTGACTTTCTTGAACTTCCATCTGATTTTGTGTCACTGTTTTAGTGATAGGTATTTGCTGTATTGATGTTACTCTGCTCGACAGGGGTGTGGTCATACACGGTTAAGTCTTCCATCCTTCTTCTTCTAAGACCTCCGCTGTATAATTGAAATTTTGAGACAAAATACAAGCTATCTAATAAATAAGAACACTGTAGCTACATCTCGAAGATGTAAAAAACAATGTGTGATACAGATTTTGGAAGGAAAACATTTTTGTATTTGCAAAAGCCACTGGATGACGCAATATTTCAAATCCTACAAATGCACACGGAGATAAAGCAAATCAAAATTAAGATGGAACAGTTCGTCAACAGGCCTATGCAAAACAAATAATATTTGATGTTCAGTGGAAACAATATGCAGATTTCCTGAATTCTTTTTCAACGCGTTTTGTTATTCACACAGATTTATATGTATTCAGTATTAATTGTAAAACATTACATCAGAATAATGATTACTTGATATTCTTAGACTGACCTCCAATAAATAGTAAAAACTAACTTTGCTTCGCCTAAAGTACAAGAAAAAGGAGACAAAATAACAAATAGACTTACCTCTCCTAAATAGGGTCGAAGTGAGTCATAACTTGGTTCAGTATCAAGTTTATTTACCCTATCTGTAATTTCTGATAACAAAACAAGAACAACAAATGTGTGAATGGTTAGAAATAAAGCACAAACATTTTAGTCTAGACCTAATCAAGACCTTATCAGGAGACATGTTTAATATTACGCCATACCCTTTAATTGAAAGCAAATGGGCAATTCATGCCCAACTGTAATGGAAGTATTTTCAGTATCAGGACAACTGCCCCTGGTAAACACATCCGTAGGACAACCGATATCCTTTTAAACGTCTATGGACATTTACAACGTGGAAATTTACTTCTGAGTGTATGATAGCCCTTGGGATATTTACAACATGGAAATGACCTCCTAGAACAATTATCCTCAAGATAAATTACCCCCAGATAACAACCATCTTTGATGAGTTAATCGAATCTCCCTCATACAATGATTTATATGTTGGCAATCGATTTAGAAGTTCTTATCTGAGATTTAAATGGTAATATCAACTTATCCACAATCTCAGAGTCAATATTCCTCCCTCTAAAAAGAAATTACAGAATTCTTTACTGCTTTAAAACAAATATTAAACAAATTCCCTTCTGTTCATGGCATTTCCTCTTAAGATTGTTAAATAATAATACATTTCATTAGACAATAAAAACGACAAATCACTGTATCCTACTTCAGTCATGGCAATGTCGAATTCAAAATAATTTATGTATAAAGACTGTGATATATCAAATAAATGCAGGGTATTTACTGACATCGCTACCACTACGTATTTTCAATTGCGCAATCTTTCGGTGACGGTTGGACGGCGTACGCATTGAGCGATTCCGGTCATGTACCCAAGCTTCATCATGCGCGTGTCATGCCGTTGGTGATGCATTGTGGGACATGGCTATCGACGCCGTGGGATATTGTGAGCAGCAGATGGCAGTAAACGTAAATATGAAGTAGTATCAGTAGAATACCCCCTCTTTAAGGTCAATAGAGTATGAACAAACCTATGAAATTTGGACGTTCATTTGCTTCATAGCTCCATGACTCTTTCATAACTTCGATCAGATCTTTAGGAGTGTTTACTGGAACAGGTTGCAGACAGGGAGGTTGTTTTTCTTCTACTTTCAGTAGCTTCATCATGTCAAATCCTCTGTCTGGTATTCAAACAATATATACATTTAAATTCAGGGAAATTAATTGCTTTAGCAATAAAAATGAATGACTGAAATTACAATTATAATGAGTAAAACTTGCAATCAAATGTTAGTGCAATCAAACTAAATTCATGAGCATTGTCAAATTGAGGCTATAGCCTCTTTGTAACATAATTTTGTATTAATAACCTGATTTCTGATCTAGTTTTAAAAAAATTACACCATTTTTGAGAATGTGAGTTGGCTCAGTGGTAGAACAGTTATCTCATAACTGGGAGGCCCAGGTTCTCAATCATGTAGATTCACTTCACTAGTGCTCTTTGGTAAGGCATTTAACCGAATTACCATGTCCCTCAGAGAGAATTTAAATCAGTCAGTCACCGGATTGTTTACTTACAAAATACGTGCGCTCTTTTGGTAGTCAGGTTTGTACTTTTATCTGGGTTTCCTTTAAATGATATTAGTTGTCAAACAAATGTGATGATTACCTTGTCAATTAATATATTCATTTTTTATATTATGAAACAATATGTATTTTATGTATATTTTGTTATCTGTATTATTTCTGCATGTGAAATGTGAAATCAATAAAACTCAACTCAACTCAACTCAACTCAATAAATAAACATAAAAATCTAAATAATTTTATCAAAAAAAGAAGCAAAAACTCACCAGAGTATGGGTGAATACCTGTCAGAAGTTCATAGAGAGTCATCGCAAAGCTGTGGGTTAATGCATGACAAAAAACTTTGGAATGTGTTAATTGTACAATATGAAATAAAGTAATACATCAAATAAATCTCGCACATACTGCAAAACATTGCACTCAAGTTTATACAAAACTGACTAAAAGCAGATATTATCTGGACATTACTCATTGGTTGTGTTAATTACAGTGAAATACACTGTTCTTTATTTTTACTTCATGTTTCTGTAAATATTAAGCATGTAAATTCATTATTCATGAAAATACACAATAAAGTATGAACTTCATTGAATTGGTCCCGAAAAACTTGTTGAAGTTGAATAATTTGTATATACAAAGTTTATTAAAGACATTATCATCCTGACTTAATATAATTATGAAACTAAGAAATCAGGTTGGTTACATTAAAGGGACGTGGTAACATTGTTCAGATTAGAGAAACTGGTGCTAAGGTCGTTATTTCAATGCTAGATGTACAATTTACGATAATCTGAAAGTTTGCGTGAAAACAGACCATTATTAATGATAACAATTGGGGAAAACTGATCTGATCGATTTCAGAGTTCTCCCAACTTGTTTATTATAATTTTAATTAAAAACATCTAAGTGTTGAAAGGATTATAAAAGTTTGTTTTATGGCTTACTTTCATGGAAAGACGGTTAGGAGAATTCAAAAATTAGTTGGGAGAATTTACTGTTAGAGGGTGTTGCACAGTGGCGCCTTCAAAGAAGAATTGTGGTTTGAGAATTTATTTCAGGATTTTTTTAATGTTATAGTGTTAGTACGGTAGAAGGAATATAATAAGTAACATTGCCTACACACATTACGCATTTTTTCCATCAACCTTCAACAATGTTACCGGTTCACTTGACAAAAATACGTTTTAAATCGCCCCTTTTTTCTTCTTTTTTTAAACATAAAAAACACGATTTAAAATGCATGCATTTGTTTTTTAATGTGTTATTATTTTCTTAGTTATTAAAAGAACAGTGAAATAAAAAATAAAAAATCTCCGCCCTGTCACTCTCCTTTTGGGCCTTCTAAATAGTTATCTGAGGGTTCTAGATCGACTGTACACACAGAGAAATAAAAGGTGTTCTTGGGGAGTAAAACGAAATTGGAAAAAAAGGGCGCCCCCTATTCTACTTCTACTTCTACTTATATGATAATACTTATCAACGCCTGTTCAGCATCTAGATGAGGGCAAAACATAGAAATGTTATATTACACCTTTTAGGGAGTAAAACACGGAAATACGCAAGGTGTACACAATAGTCATTTGAGGGGAGTGATTTTACACCCTATTTTAGTCAGACGAGCTCTGATTGGTCAATATATTTTAACAAATCAGGGCTTTGGTATTGGGAGGTTAAGCATTTTTTAATTGTGAGTGCATATTCGCAAGCGCTACAGCAATGGCGTATCGTGTCAATATAGGTACTGCCAAATGAAAGAAAATTAGGATAATATACATATTTTAGTCATTTTGCGGAAAATTATCATGTTTCATTTGGGCATATTATTTGTGTGAAAGTTTTCTGATCAAGAATAAGGGAATGTACCGAAGGTTATATTTGATAAGGTAATGAAATTAGCAGAAGTGTTGTTTTACTAACTACTACATAATTGCCTTCTTATACGTATAAGTAAATGGAAGATATTCGGGAAGGCAGGGTTGTGTATAAAATAATTTCCACGTCCATCCAGGCCAGCCTCACCGAGGCTAATATTAAGTAGGTTCTTACAGTTTGCACTTGTGTTGAGTTCACAACAACTGTTGTTTGGTAAGCATATCGGCTTTTCGACATATAACTCGAGATTTTGGCTTGATTTCTTTAGAGCAGTGAAACGTAGACAAAAGAGTAAGAATCAGTGATTGTTAGGTGATTACGAAGCATGGATGATTGATTGCTCGAGGGATGATCAATTGGTTGATGCTGTGCATAAGAAGGGTGTAGATTTACTACCCACAGGGTATGGAATTAATCATATAGGGTATACAATTCAACCCCACGGATGTAAATTTGAGCCCATTTTTCATGAAAATGGAACCAAAAGGTGTTAATTAAGCACCATTGGGTGCAAGTTTCACTCCTTAAAGGGAGTAAAATAATAACCTTGGGGTACTCCTACATGGGGGATTAAATTGTCACTTATGGGGAGTAAATTCAAACCTCTTTTTCTCTGTGTGTACATGATGTCCAGGGCCTAGAGAATAGCGTCTGACAGGGTAAGCTTTCACAATTTTGTTTTTCTTCAAACATTTCTTTAACCATTTTCTGTAATGTGATTTGTTTTTCAATTTCAATTTAATCATATTTAATCAGCGGTTCAACACCTGATCCAAAAGGGATATTTATGACATTAAAGGCCCCATTATGAGTGTCTTACTCAGTGGCGTATCTGTTGGGGCAAAGGAGACATGTGCCCCAGACGGCCATTAAAGGGCTGCAAAAAAAAATGAAGACAAAAAAAGAGAAGGGGGTGGAAAGGACGAAAAAAAAATAATGATCCAAAATGAATGAGTGTATGAGTTAAGATTTGAGGAAGAAGCCAATATAAAAACTTCATGTACTTTATTCACATATTGATGATCAAAATTCGAACTGTAACCTGTATTAATATCTCCTTCAAATACTTGGATATGTAGGACGATTAAAGTATACACTACCTACAATTCCTTCAAGAATTCCTTCGAGAATTAGAATATACATTGATTGGGCATATCACCACTGCTTAATTCTTTGCTCATGTAATGGCCTTCTGAGGATTGTTCATATGAATTATATTTTCTCACCTGTAGACATCATACTTTGGAGTAACAACCTTAGTTGAGTTGGGTAAGTCTGTTCTAAAAGCTTCTGGCGGCTTGTGACTGTCCGTGCCCCAACACCTATCACCGAATGAAGTTTGGAGATTAGTTGCAAGGCCAAGATCTGCAATCTGTACATCCCATCAAAAAAGAAAGAGAGAGAGAGAGAGAGAGAGAACCCATCAAATTCACATCACACTTTTCTATACTGATGTCTCCATAAATATCCTGTTTGATTTCATGAAGGAGAATTCTTGGGAATCTTACATACTTTCACATCTTCCAATAATAAGTTCAGCTGCAAGCTTCATTATGATGTGTGATATTAAACTAGCCTATCTTTAAAAAATAATAAAGCACTTTTCAATTCACAAATCAATATCTAAAAAAGAAGAAGATAAATTGAATAGTCTTGTTTGTAGTTTTAGTGATACATCTGCATAAAGGGACAAGGGCCAGGAAAGGGCACCACCAAACACGATAAAGTCCCTCAGTTCCTCCTGGAAACCTTGTCAGCACAAGGTCATCGATGATGTATGATAAGGTCTGGTCTTGAATGATTGAAACAAGAAATGAAATCAATTTCATGCCACAAATATGTGAATGTTACAAATGTTTATGATAAAAGTATCCCCTCCCTTTGGGGTCATTTTTATATCTTCAGTATCGCTAATCTGCACCTGAATCACAGTCAATGAAGATAATTTAATTTGCAGCTAGACAAGATGTATTAGGCATGGAACTAAAAATATTATATGATGCTAATCTAGACTGCAGTTCATAACAGCTAAGGAATATTTTTAGTACCGTAATCCTCAAAAGGCAATTTGTCAGATTTCTTCCATGGCTTCTCAGACGAAAATATTGAGATACTCAAATTTATATGGTGCTCCGAAGTTTTTCCTTAATTCTAAATTGAAAAAAAGAGCAAGGCATTGTTTCATGAAACTGTCATAAGTAGAAGTTCACCGTCATCCCACTGAAATGTATTTTAAATGCAATACAAGTGTTAATGTGATATCTTAAGTACTTATGATGGTTTCATGAAACGCTGCATAGATGATAGGTGAAGAACGTTACCTTGACATGAAGATCACCATCTACTAGAACGTTCTCCAGCTTGAGATCCCGGTGAATGATATCTTTTGAGTGGAGAAATTGCATTCCAGACGACATTTCATAGACCATCCTGTTGATCAGAGGCAAGAGGTCGGGGTGCTGTAGCCATTTAGTAGTGCGGAAGTCCCAAAGAGATCCATTCTCCATGTATTTCATGACGATACCAATAAGGCCACAGTTGCATGCATCGTCTTCACACTCCACAAACCCTTTGATGGGGACAATGTGCTCACATATGAGGGAGTTCTCGTGCTTTCGAGCCTCCTTCTGGTACATCACTACTTGACCTCTATATAGGATAGTGAGAACAAAATTAATCAAAGAAGATGATATCGTTGGCCTTATGCCTCAAGGGCTTTAACCCGATGTTGGGGGGTTATTGAGTTAATAACATCACCTTGTAGATTTCAATATTCTCTTTAAAATAATGTGCTTCACTTGTTGAAATTCGATTTACTTATGAAGATAATTATGAATTTCAAAAGGCCCTTAACGTGTATCTCATTTTTTTTCCTTACGCCAATAGGGGCTTAACCTACACGGTAATTTTGTTATCAATGACAGATTATTTCGTATTTTATATTTAATTCAATAAATATCAGTAGAAACACTATTAAAAAAAACATGCTTAGTTTACAGTAGACACAATTTACTTATAATAATCACTGAAAGTATATGTCATGAATTTAGATCATGAATTCTGAGTGAGATTCATTTTAGATGTGGATGCATGAAATGCGGCTGACTCATGAAATACGCAGATGTCAAAGTAAGGGACTGTAATGAAAATAAACAACGAAAAAGGTGTCCTAAATGTACGATCTCTAAAAATTAACTTCACCGAGAGCTGCATTATATTAATAAAAATATTCAGATATCAAAAATACCTTTTCTAACATGTTAATTAATCTGTTTTATCAGTTCTCGTGATCCAGTAGCCGTAGCAGGGGCTTTCTGGCAAACCAAAGGTGTTGCGAAACAAGAAAATGTCTTTATGCCAGGTGGGCGCTAACTACGCGCGCATACGACAACGGCAGGTTAAGGCCCTTTTGGCATAATGCCGCGTAGGTTACGGCCCTTCTGGCATAAATAAGCTACATTCAAGCCATATGCCAAAAGCTCCTAGCATGTTTTTAGCACATAGAATGAAAACTTCTGAATATTTTTAAACGAATTTAACACAGTTCATGTAAAACTTAATAACTTAACATATTTATCGAAATTGACTTCAAAACTAAAAAACGACCACATACTTTTGATTATTAGAGAGGCCAAAACTTTAAAGGCGATTATCTCGGTATGGCAAAAAGCAGTTAAGTCCCTTTTGGCAAAAGGCCGACGATATGTTACCACGAGGCATGAAGATTTTTTTCTTAGAAGATTTAAATATGGACATTAGCTTACAAAATTCGTGGTCTCCTAGTGCAATCATATTTTGTGACATAGGAAAACAACTCTTAGCCAAATATAACCAAGATCCAATATGTATCTCTCTCTCTCCAAACTGAAATTACGAAGAAGCATGCGATTATCATCCTCCTGTCCCCATATTTGCAGTCAAAGTCTGTTTTACCCCAGAGTGTGCTCTATTCACAGGTATGTCTATGAAACTCGAGGACTGTAATTATTGTGGAGTTAAATGTTTTGCCTGAAATATTTCCAGATAATTTTTCTCATGACTGCAACTCTACATTAATGCTTTATGAAATGTGGTTCTTAAATTTAAAAAAAATCTTTAAATTGGCAAAGCACAACGGAATCTAAAATCATATAAAACCATATGTGAAAAGTATGTTAGTTAACATAACCAGTATTCAGAAAACAATGTAAAGTACGAAACTAAGATAACATAGTTCTGTGTGGGTAAGATACAGCCTGCATACACAAAACCTTTTGCAAGCCGCATGCATGGATTTGACATGAAACATGATTGGCTGAGAGATCTGAGTCTCATTGGAGAATAAATGAAAAATGGGCATGTCAGGGGCATAACCAAAAAATTAATAACATACCCTCGACATATTTTTCATAATACTGATTAAGATGTATGTTAAGGGTATGTTAACTGTGGGACACATATAAGTTAACATAGTTTTCAGAATACTGCCCCAGACATTTGGAAAATTGTTTTCCTCTATAGGTCAATATTTCATTAAATGATTATTTTTACTTACTCTTTACCAGATTTAGCAAGCTTCACAGCTACATCATCATGTACTGTATGTGTAGCCTTGTAGACCTCCCCAAAAGAGCCTCCACCCAAATGACAGCCTTCAAGTTTCCTTGCTTTCTTCTCATGGAACGCATATTTCCCCCCACTGGAGTCTTTAACAGTGAGATCCGCCATCACAATTGTTTCAAGATTGAGGACCGGTTGAGGGACACGGACTTTAACCCCGGCTGATTCTAATGCCGTTTTTAAATCAAAGTGAGAAAAGAAAATACTAAGCAGTCGTTATGACCCTATTCGAGACCGTTTACAAGCATCTTGCAGCTAACCTATGTTCTTGATACTGTATAAGCATTTGTGATGATGAATATATATATATATATATCTACACGGTACATGTAGCGCTTTTTTCAATTGCTGATAATCCAGTGAATAAATCCACAATGAAAACAACCTAACGATATAGTGGTCATGTAAGAAGTAGTATTTGATAACCAAAAAGTAGTAAATCTTCAGAAATAAAATTTGTGTTAATAATCATTTGGTCCAATTTTCATATGGTCTTACATCATTTCGTCTAACACCATTTTTTCCATCAACTACTTTACAATAATCATTAATTGTGTGTAAGCGTTATGCGTTTTAACCAACAAAAACGACCCTTTTTCTTCTTGTTCTCTCTCTTTGTATTATGTGGCGCGCCCATTCGAATATGAACAAATTATTGGAGTGCTCCCCCCCCCCACCCATCGGGATTAATCTCTGATTCCAATATCCAGTAGGTATAATAGCTATTCATGTTGTTACAGTTTCCAATTGAACAATCCAATTTCTTCAAAAAAGTTTGTATTTAAATCTAAATTCGTTCTTAATTCGTAAAGTAGTACACGGATCAGGGCTGTTATAAGTTACAATAACTGTTATAAGCTACTGAAATCATCACATTTGATTGGCTGAGAGCAAATAGATATAATGAAATTATAGACAACGGGAATATGATGCTTGGACCAAATGGGAACTGGACTAATTTGGTTTGGAGCACTTGATATTAGACAAAAAATAAATTGGACCAAATCATAATAGACCAAAAGTTTATGGCACGAAAATTAAATATATATATATATATATATATATTGGATGAAGCGGCAATTCTACCAATTTGTTACAGACAAGTGGCTATTGGCACTGCGGCCGGTAAATTGACTGGCATGATGATTGGCTGAAACGTTGGTTGACCATGTATAGCGGGTATACATAGGGTTTACTCATGTAAACTGGGTGTGGACTAAATAAAGTGAGATGAACTGGCTATTTGACCAAGTGCCATTGGACCAAACGGCAATATACCGGTATAATTTATTTTGTATACAGTTCAGTTCGTTCAGTCACAGGGAGAGGAAAATCCAGATCAGTAATCTGGATTAGTCGGGGTAAACAGTTCATTAGTTAAAAGATTAAAGAAGAAAAAAAATTACATCGTATACATTTATATGTAGAAATTTACATATACCTTTCAAAAAAGGTAAAGGATAAAAACAACTTAAAAGTAATGACAGGTATGTCCCTATACAGTTCTTTTCCTATATATATATATATATATATATATATATATATATCACTTTGTTTACATGAAATAGTGATCCCGGTTAAAATGCGAATCATACCTTCAGGTGATGCTTCTTTCCTCTGTGCTTGTTTACTCATGAGGTACTGAACTACGTCAATATGACCTGCTTCTGATGCAACAATAAGAGCCGTTGTACCAAGTTTAGTAGGCTTATCAATATGTGCTCCTTGACCAATCAGATACTTAACTACATCGAAATGACCATCGCCTGATGCAGAGTAAAGAGGTGTCATACCATCATTATTTCCCTTCTCTACCTGCGCTCCTTGGCCAACGAGGTACTGAACTACGTCAAGGTGACCACCGCATGATGCAAACATAAGAGGTGTATTACTCTTATTATCTCCCCTCTCTACCTGCGCTCCTTGGCCAACGAGGTACTGAACTACGTCAAGGTGACCATTCCATGATGCAAACAAAAGAGGTGTACCACCATTATTATCTCCCCTCTCTACCTGCGCTCCTTCGCCAACGAGATACTCAACTACGTCAAGATGACCCTCTTTTGATGCAAAGTGAAGAGGTGTATCACCATCATTATCTCCCTTCTCTACCTGTGCTCCTTGGCCAACGAGGTACTCAACTACGTAAAGATGACCCTTTTGAGATGCAGCATGAAGTGGTGTCATACCCTTATTATTATCACACTTCTCAACCTGTGCTCCTTGACCAACGAGGTACTCAACTAGGTCACGATGACCTGCATTTGATGCAAAAAAAAGAGCCGTGATACCATTTTTATTGGGATAATCAACCTGTGCTTCTTGACCAATGAGATACTTAACTACATCGAGGTGACCATGGCATGATGCATAGTGAAGAGGTGTCGAATCATCATTATCACGATCTTCAATCTGTGCTCCTTGACCAACGAGGTACTCAACTACGTCAAGATGACCCTCTTGTGATGCAACATGAAGTGGTGTAAAACCATTTTTACCACCCTTCTTCATCTGTGCTCCTTGACCAACGAGATACACAACCATTTCAAAACAACCATTTGAAGCTGCCATGAGAAGGGCTTTATCGACCTCAGCAGGCTCATTTACTGCTCTTTTAGCCATGTTTTGCTAATAATCTGTGGACCCAATTTTGAAGCAAATCAGTATGGATATTTTCTTCGTTCTAGACCTAATATTTCGTGTTTGTCAAAGTCACATTTGCGTTCTGTAAATCGTTGATGGAAGAGACTAAATACATCAATGAAGTTATCCGCTCTACAGGTTGAGAGATATATATCTTTCTCTGTTACCCTGCAGGTTTAAACTATTCGAAGCCTACTAATGATTATGCATTGTAAACTATGACAGAGAAAAAGATCTAATTTGCACAATTCCTATTCTATTATTAAAGAATCCGTCTCCGTAGAAGTTTGATATATCCACTTTAATCGTCTGATTTCCTTCACATAAGCCAACATGCTCCGGACCATCCAAATATAACATCAAAGGTCTGTTGTTTCTAAATGAAATGGTAGATTATCCATTCGGTTCACAAATCCGTGGATAAATTTGTTCCACAATTGAACGCTTAAAATGTAACTCCTTGCTTTTTATCCGAAGAATTTAAGTTGTGTTTGATGGTACATTACTCAAAGGTATGAACTATATAATTCATTTGTGTGCGCTTACAGTTTCCGGATCAAACTAACCGATGGAACAGTCATGGCGGAAATGGCGGAGCCTTTTGTGAGAAACGGGCGTTGTTTTGAAAAACGTCATCATGATAGTACGTCACCGTGACCTGACCTCAGCTTTGCTGCAATGTAATGCAATCTTACATGAACAGAGAATAAATGCATGGTTGACTAATTAGAATGAGCCGAAACCAAATAGTCGCAGCGTTATTTACTGACATAATTTCTATTGATCCTACACACTTGATCGCATACAATTTTTGTATTTACCCATAATTCGTCAACATAAAGGGGTCCAGACAACTCGCCACAAAGACAACCCGCCCCAAGACAACCCGCCCCAATACCCTGGACATCTCGCCACAATACCCTGGACAACTCGCCACGGTCGAGTTGTCCAGGGTGGGGTGCTTTTCGCACAACTCGCCGCACCTTTTCCCCCTCATGATTTCTCGATCTAAAATCCCTCATCTTAGATAAAATTGTCATTTTATGTAGACCTATTCATTATTCTTTTATATTTAGATAGCTTAGACAGATACCGAGATGTGATTGGTCCAGAGCTCGTCACGTGATATCAATTGCGAGGATCCAAATTGTTATATTTTCCTGGCCGGTCACTTTTCGGTGTTATATTAACCAGCTGGTGAATTGAATATATTTTTAATCAATGCATGTCGCCCTCTTGAGGACTGTATGTCACACACATTACACCATTACCGAGGGTAATTTTTTTTTTCATGAATTTTTTTTTCCCCTTGAAATTATTTTGTCCACATTTTGTTTTTCCCCAATTTTTTTTTTTCGAATTTTTTTTTACCCTTGAAAATTATTTTTTCCACATGATTTTGGGGGTAAGAATTTTTTTTTTTTTTTTTTCCCCCAAATTTGTTTATCATTTTTTTTTTTTTTTTTTTTTCTTGAACTGTCTCGACAGATTATTTTTCCGTAATTTTGATTTTCCCCGAAACAAATTAAAATTTCGGGCAGACAAAAATGGACCCCCCCCCCCCTCCCCACAAAAAAAAAAGCCAAGTGTCAAGATTTTCCCCGGATATACAAAATAGCCAGACACTCTCATAAATGAGTTCTACAGACTGTTTATTGAGAACTACATCAACATCTAAATTCATAGAAATCTGCTGTTACACAAATATTACATATACGTACGGACATTTAATTACTCCAATACCCACGAGTGTAGTCCTGTACAAGTTAATTTCCCAATTCATAAAAATCTGCTGTTACACAAATATTACAAATACGTACAGTCATTTAATGACTCCAATACCCACGAGTGTAATTCCGTACAAGTTAACTTCCCAGTTTTTAAGTGTCCGAAATCGAGACAGACTAATAAGACGAAAGCCTTTTGCTTGGAATTTGCTTTATCAGAAGATCAAAATACCGACATGGTTCCTACGACGATTCGATGCTTGGAGACTTGTGAAGGTTGAAGTCCCGTAATCGCTATTTACGGCAATCGGTCACGTGCTTCAAGATCCCGGATTTAATGACTCGGCGATTCTTGGATGCTACTTCGACGATTCGATGCTTGGATGCTAATTCCTGTCCTTTAACCAGTTTGTGGATACCAACGCTCTGAGCTCGGGTGGTCGTCGTGGCAGAATGGTTTTACGGGCGTGGTTTATTATAGAATCAGTTCCTTAACCAGTATGCTATAGAAGATAACACGTGATAGGGGAATGATAGAACAGGACAATGAAAAGAGGAGGATTGACGTCATTATTTCAAAGAATATTTTAAAGTCTTAGTTCAAATCTGGGGATATAGGTTTAGTATGTCCCAATTTTTTTTTCCTTTCCCCCCCCCCCCCTTTCTTTCCATCTATCGGTTCGGCGTGTACGGCCGATTCGAATGAATAATGTATAGGAGTTAGTCTCGGTGCACAATAGGATTGAATATGTAGATGAAGGAATAATGCAGAAGTTGATCATGCTTTATAATAACATTGAAAGTTCAAGGGATTTATAAATAGTACGCTCATGTTTGTTTTGTTGTTGATTTTTTTTTTTTTTTTTTTTTTTTTTTTTTTTGTGTTTGTAGTAAAATTAGGTGGAGAGGGCTCCACTTTGCTGGTCGATGGACATATAATGTTCACATAATTTTGTGTTGAGAATGTGTGTTATGTAATGGGGAATGTGGTAAGTGGTTGGGTGAATGTGTATGGGTGGATGTGTACGTGTTTAAGTAGGAATGTAAATGGAAGCGTGTATCTCCGGTCCTCAGATGTTCAAATACAATTAATAATTATTCAAAGGTTTTTCGTCCTTTTTCTAAAGAATGTAATTATTTTGCTATCCCTTTTAACATGGGATGATAATGATGAATATGTGAACTACAGCCATGGATTTTAAAAAGCTGACCCTTTCAGCCAATTTTATCTCCTTAAATGTAAAAGGAATAAGAGATAAAGAAAAAAGAACGAACATTTTCAGATGGTGTAAAGATAAATATCCAGATGTTGTTTTTTTACAAGAAACTTTTAGTACGCCAGATGTTGAAGATAAATGGAAAGAGATGTGGGATGGAACCTGTTATTTTAGCCATGGTACAGCACATAGTAAAGGCGTTATGGTACTAATAAACAGAAACTTAGATTTAACGGTGTTAACGGCTGTTTATGATCAATATGGTAGATATGTTATGCTAAAATGTGTTTTACAGGGCATAGAAATTGTGATTATTAATGTATATTTTCCCGTCAGAGGAAATGATATAGAGAGAATTGATTTTTTGGTAAACTTTGAAAAAGATCTAAACGCGATTAAAAGTAAGGGGAACTTTGTGATAATAGGAGGAGACTTTAACCTTATAAGAAATTATGAATTAGATTACAATGGGACAGCAACAAAGAAACTTCGTACTAATTTTGATAAGCACTTCGATGACTTTTTAGACAAACATAAATTGATTGATATTTGGAGGGAATTCAATGGTATGAAAAGACAGTTTACGTACCGACGATTAACTCCATTCATGCAAAGCAGGCTTGATTATTGGATTATTTCGGCTGAATTACAAGAAATAGTAGTGAAATGTAGTATAGTACCTTCCATAGCTCCAGACCATTCGGCAATCTTTTTACATTTATATAATAAGCCAGTTTGTGATAATTTTGCAAAAATTAATACCTCATATTGGAAATTTAATAACAGCCTATGTACAGATAGAGAATATGTTAGGTTGATGAAGGAAGAAATATTCAAGTTAAAGGAAGAACTTAAATCAGACATTAAAGATAACAGAGTCTTGTGGGATTTTATAAAGATGAAAATCTGTAATTTTACAAAGAAATATTCAAGAAAATTAGCAAAGAAACGGAAAGAAAAAATTGACGCTTTAGAACAAATAATTAATTTGCTCGAAAGTGATCTTTCAGAAAAAGAAGAGAATGATAAAATTAAAGCTTTAGAAGATAGTAGGAAAGAGTTAAAAACATATTACGACTATATTAATGAGGGAATTAAAATTCGGTCAAGGGCGTCATGGTATGAAGCTGGGGAAAGAGATTCTAGATACTTCACACAGTTAATGGAATCAAATAAAAAGAAAACCGTTATTCGAAAGTTAATTGTAAATGGAGATATCACTGGCGATTTATCGGAAATAATCAAAAAATAAGATTATTTTACAGTAACTTATATGCAGACAATGTAACTAATAACTCGGTCAATTATAATACGCTGTTTTTTCAATATTTACCTGTCAATCATGTGAAGGAAAAATCTCGAAAAATGAATGTGAATCTGTTTTAAAAGAAATGAAATTGAATAAATCCCCTGGAAATGACGGCTTGAGCGGAGAATTTTATGTAACCTTTTGGCCGGTTATAGGCGATTTAGTTGTAAATGCTTTCAATGAAGCTTTTGAAAAAAGTGAGTTATCTGCATCTCAAAAACAGGGAATAATCACCTTGATACATAAAACAGGGAAAGACCCTTTACAAATAAAAAACTATAGGCCAATTTCCCTTCTTAATACCGATTACAAAATACTGACAAAAATATTGGCTAAAAGAATAAAAAGCGTATTGCATGAAATAATCCATGCAGATCAAGTAGGCTATATGGAAGGAAGAAATATAGGTGAAGCTATTAGGCTCATCGATGATATGATTTTCCACACAAGTCATTTTAAAATACCTGCTTTTTTATTGGCTGTGGACTTCGAAAAAGCATTTGATTCAGTACATCACGAGTTCATACAAAAAGTTCTAGCCAAATTTGGATTTGGACCAATGATCCAGAAGTGGGTCAAGAGTTTGTATACTAATGCAAATAGTTGTGTTTTTAATGGTGGCAGTTCTACCGGATATTTTCCAATACAAAAAGGAGTAAGACAAGGTGATCCGTTATCACCATATATTTTCATTATGTGTATGGAAATTTTAGCCCATTCAATACGCAATAATTCTGAGATTCATGGATTAACATATGGGAATACTGAAGTAAAACAAATAATGTATGCCGATGATGTAACCCTCTTTATCAAAGATACAGTATCTTTAATGGAAGTTAATAGATTATTCGATGCATTTTTAGACGTATCTGGTTTAAAGGTTAATAAGAACAAGACATATACACTTTTGTTAGGGCCCCCTAGGAACGAAACTCAAATTTCTTAGGGGACAGTCGTGCCAATTGTTAAAATTCTAGGAACATTTTTTTCACTAGATCCCGACGTTAAAGAAGTAATGAATTACAAAGAAATCCTTAGTAAAATAAAGAAACTACTAATATGGTGGAAGCAACGTGATTTAACCCTTATGGGAAAAATCCAGTTGATAAAGGTGTTTGTTTTATCCAAGTTGATTTATATTTCATCACTGATGTCAGTTCCGGAATGGGTTTTTAAAGAGCTAGAAGATTTAATCTTTCCCTTTCTTTGGAAAGGCAATGATAAAATAAGAAGGAATATATT